TATATATATATATATATATATATATATATATATATATATATATATATCTCCAGAGGAATTCTGAGAATCCATTGAAAAATGGGTGGAGTTAGACAATGCGTAAGGGTCCACTGTCAGCTCCAGAGAATGGAATTGGTCACCACTGTCTATAGTACCCATGGTTTGTCACTGAGGTCAGTAGCGTCATGGAACTGTCTTGGTCTGAGGTGAACATTTTAATTCTGTTCACTGTGAACATGGCCCTTCCCCCTAGTCAGCTTCCAAGTGCTTTCCAGATACTTCCTAGGAAGCCCACTGAAGAATCACCTGCATGGCTTGTGGCAAGAGGTGGGTATAGGGAAGAGGGAGGGATCATGGAAGTCCTGTAGCTGAATGAAAACAACTAGTTTTTTTTTTTTTTTTTCTAGTTAGGAACAATTCTATGTGTTTTAATTTCCTCTATCCTGTGGTAACGGGAAGCCAATGCACATTTTCTGATGGACACAGGGGCTAGAGAGACTAGTTATTACAAATTCAAGGGTATGATTCTAGTTCCGTACTCAACACCTTAGGTGAGAGGCCTCATTTTCTAAGGAATGTCACGGACCACTATTGCCTGAAAGTGGAAGGATGTACCGTTGTCATCTTCTGGGAACTGGATTTCACACACATTTTTTTACTACGGAACAATGACCACAGAAAAATCTTTAAACACAAGGGCAATTTGCAGTGCTATGTGACGTATGGCTGTTACCTGAGCTAGTAACTGGTTAACTTAGATGAATATGGCTTGACAGGAGTGCCCAAATTCTGTAGCCCTGTCTGTCCCTCCCTCAACTCAGATGATGTCCACTGTCTATACCTCACTGCCATTAGTTCTCTGCCCCTGGCAGTGCTTATTTTACAAACCTTCCCTCGTCTTCATCTCCTGGCACAATGCCCAGGTTATATTAACTGATTAGTACATCTTTAAAACAAATGGCACATATGTTAAAGCATGTAAGAAATCCTGCGTGATAAAAATTTAATGCTAGCCTTATAAAGATTCAAATGTTTGTCATTATCTTTTATCGTTTTTTTTAAATTCATTTATTACTTATTACAATTTATTCACTTTGTATTCTGGCTGTAGCCCCTTCTCTAGTCTCCTCCCAGACCCACCCTCCCTCCCTCTTCTCCCCCTATGCCCCTTCCCTAGTCCACTGATAGGGGAGGTCCTCCTCTTCTATCTGACCCTTGCCTATGAGGGCTCATCAAGACTGGGTGCATCCTCTTCCTCTCATTTTTCTAATGAAAAATTGAAACAAAAGGAAAGATCTTGAGCTAACAGGATCTGTTTGAAGCCACTGAATTCAATGCCACTTTCTCAAGGGTCACCTGCAACAGGAGCCTGTAGCCACTGTGCTATCCAAGTCATGGCAGGTATGTTACATATGAAGCAAATAAAATCATATGGTCACAAGAAAAGCACACTTACAATCTCGCCTTCTTTGCCTCCAAAGTCTAGATAGAGCATCCTGATTCCATCATCTGAAGACATTTTGAGCTTCTCATAAGGGGACTGTATGATTGTCTTGGGAAAGGCACCCTCCTGAGGCTCAGTGGAAATAGAAAATCCGTTGTCATAATGTATGGTCAAACGGCATTCCTGGTTTCTGTAGGTGCAGGCTAAGAGAGGGGAGAGAGGGAGAGAAAAAGAGAGGTGGGGGAATGGGGGAGACATGGTGGAAATCAATCCATCAATCCATTTATCTATTTACTTTGGAACTGAATTGTTTTAGTTTCTTCAAACCAGTGTCTAGCCACAAATTTCTTATTAATGTGAGAAAAAGAAAGGTGGGCTGAAGAGATGGCTCAGCTGATAAAGGCCAAGCTCACAACTGAAAATATAAGAAACGAACATAGTTCCCATGCTTCTTGATGCTGTAATTTAGCAATCTCCAGGAACTGAGAATCAGTGGATGTCTTCTGGGCTCCAGTCCTTCTCTTACCTCCTGACAACATGTATGTCAACAGGAAAGGGATGCTTGACTTCCCGTGGCCAGGTGGGCCTGACTTCCAGCCAGAAACAACAGACATTTTATTTATGTAAAGTAAGCCACCTCTGCATCCTCCTCCTCCTCCTCCTCCTCCTCATCACCATATCACCTGCATGGATACATACCCACACTCACACGCACATGAACTCATGCATACATCTGTGCACACATTCATGTCAGCTATTGGGTGAAAGAGGCAAGCACTCCCTTTTTATCCTATCAAAGTTAACACACACATATCATGCTTAAGAGGTCAGACGTGAGCAGTTTAAAAATAATCTACATTTTTAAAAGGCCTAACAAAGTTTATTTTATAAATTGAAAGGACACTTCTTTTCATTTTCCCTAAGACTTTGGGTCCAGGAAATGCTGCTGCAGACAGATCTGTAATGTGGCATCTTTCATGAGGATGCTACTCTATCCTGCTGCCTGTGAGGTGTCTAGAAGCTTGCTGGGAGAGGGGGTCATGCACAGGGAACCTCTAGCCCAGAGCAACAAAAGGATAAATGTTGTAAGCGGTCTAGGTGCAGGCTTGTACCTGGAAACTTTGCTGTTTAGGAAGAATCCAGCACTTGAAGCCTATTACTTGGGCAGGGAGGGGACAGTCATTATCACCCTAGCTCACAGCAGTTGAGGAAGGGCTACAAATGTGTCCTTTATATATCTTCACCAAAGATTTCTGGAAAAGCTTATCAATTATCAGACTGGGTTTACTTTACCTCATAAAACACTACCTTTAGCAGACCTCTCTTGGTGAACTGGCTCAGGCCTTGATCTACATCTAACTGAATATTTAGGGAAACCAGGACATTTTTGGGGGTGTTGAGAGTCTGAGAGCAGCACTGATACATAAAGGTGTCATTAATTGAGAAACTACTCTGTGTCACCCTTAGCTCTGCTCTGCTTTCTGAATATACCAAATACAATCTCACCACTGACTTCAGATGCAGAAACATTTTACTAATATTATAGAGCTTAAAAAAACTAAAGTTCAGAGAAAAGACAATATCACTACCCGGGGATGTTTTCACTTTGAAAATTCAAGTCCTTTCTCCTCTGTTTTATGTTCCTTTTCCTGTGCGTGCTGGCACTCAGATGTGGAGGGTGTTGAGGCAGTACATTGACAGAGAGTTCCTCAGCCTTCCTTGCTCATGAATAGTGACAAATAATAACAACTGGGTAGAGGAGACCTTCAGATTTTGGAGGAAGAAATAGCATCTCTACTGTCCACAGAATGAGGTGTCTTTTCAAATGGAGCTCTGATGAACACACATACCCCTTTCCTGACCTACTGTAAGTATTTTTCAACTGTTACTATGAACTCACCTTTTTCAAAGTTTTTGTTTTTTTTCTGTTAGATCTGAGTGTTTTGCCCTCTGCCGCCCCCAGTCCAAGGACAGTGTCACAGAGATAGAAATGGCTTCTCATCCTGAGTCCTTCCCTTTGTGAATTTTCATTTCTTGTCCATGTAAATAGACTCCAGGCACAGTTTCATTCATGCTTTCCTCACATTTGAACTTTACATTTAGGCAACTAGTTATTCTGAACTAACTGTGATATGCTTTGATTCCAGCAGGCCTCAAACAGTGTTGGTGGCCTTTACTGGGTAGAATCAGTTATCCAAATATGTTCTCAATTTCCTTGGGGTAAACTAAACGCCATGTTAAATGAAGCTCTGATGAAAGCAGACGTCTTCTCCCCCCCCCCCCAAAGTCTCTGGAGGCATCATTCAAGCTACAACTAGGTTGTGTCTTTAATCACTCCCATCACTTCTCCATTGTTACCATCCCATTAGCTCAGTTTACACAATTCTTTGTCATTCTCCTTTGGCTAGTGTGACACGAGTCTTGGAATTTTTCTACTGAGGGAAATAGGACTATCTAATACTAAATAGGATGTAAAACAAACCAAATCCTTAGGGACGCTTCCATTCTTTCCTCAAGGCAATGCGTGGAGTCTGAACTTCACTGGTACTTCGCCTAACTTTATTAAACTTAGCATTTGAGTTGTTGAGCCTTTCCCCGATGCTCAGGTTGACAGTCTGCCTTTTTTGCCAGATGCCATAGGCACACAACTTTCAGGAACACTCTGAACAGGTCATCAGCAAATGACAGGAAATGTTTAGGGTCACAAATTAGTTTTAAGATAATCATTAATAGACACTGATCAAGCCAGGCAAGGTGATGCATGCTTCTAATCCCAGAATTTGATAAGACTGTCAGTTTGAGACATGCCTAGGCTACATGATAACGTACTATCTTAAAAAATAAAGTAAGAGACACCGATTATCTTGGGTATACTGCAGCAGAAATTCTACTACGCATTTAGAGACATTTTGGAAAACCCCCACAACATGCTATCGTATGTCCCATATTTTAGAGTACTATTGAGTGTGTGAGAGGTAGTTCTTACTGCAGCACCCCTCAAAGACTTTCTCACAGCCCAGTAAACATTACTGTCTCCTGGAATTTGTTATATGAGAATTCTGATATATCATACCATGGTGCAGAATCTGAGTCTCTGGAGGGAGGTGAAGGTCAGCCATTCATGCCTCTGAGTAGAACATCATTGCTTTGTTATTGGTATGGAAAATCTTGGTACGTATTTTCTAGCTGTTGTGTGGAAAGTCCTCATCCTCTATAGCACACAGAGGCATAAAAGAGCTCGATGGAAATGCCACAGATCTACACCATCCTGGGAAGTTGCTATTTAGCACATGTGACAATGGAGTAAAAAAGGTGACACACTGAGGAAATTATTAAGCTTTAATTAATTCAAATTTAGATCGCTTCACAGAGGTTATTATATTAGGCAGTGCAAGTCTTGGGTAATAATTATAAGGATAGCAGCTAATAATTCTTTTTCACACCATCCTCAGAAGTGCGTCCTGTTTTTCTGATTATAGATGTGGGGTGGAAGAAACAAGGATATAAAGCAAATGACTAAGAAATAACAGAGCTGGGATGTGAACCTAGGTCAGACTCTATTCAAAATGACCAAGTGTGGCTACAAGCTTCTTATGGCCTCCTCAAAGCCACAGAAGAATATGTAAGGTAGCACAACAGAAGAAGAGAAATGGTATTACAAGCAGTGTCTATGAGGAACTCAGAAGTTCCTGGGAGACATGATGAGGAGATGCTTCATTGTCACAGAATGCCCTACTCATCAGTGCCAGCAGGACGCTTGGCAGAGGTAGGCCATAGAGGTCAGGACTAGAAATTGTTTGTACTATGGCTCAGGACCAGAAACAACAGCGTCACAGACTCTGTTGGCTTTGTATGGGGTAGTCCGTGTATACTGTGTTAAAAATGGGCTCCACACTAGCTAATGCACATGATTTTATGGTGTGTACTATACACACACATGCACAGTCATCAATACAAACGCAGGCACGCACGCAGATGCACACGTGTGTACACACACCACACACATGTACACAAGCACGCCTGAATTAAAAGTTCCACCGAGCAGGACACTAGAGACATCAAATTTCTAATATCGTTCATAAAATACTGTTTTAGCTGGTTGATTTAGGACACTCAGGAGGTTGTTTCTTACTATAAGGAAAAGAGACACTTTATAGAATGCCTAGCGAAGAGTAGGCATGCTGTAAATGACATCCCATAGGAGGGTTGCCCCTTACACACACACACACACACACACACACACACACACACACACACACACA